TGCCACTCTATTCTGGCCATAAAGTTTCTGTTGAGACGTCAGCTGACAGTCATAGGGTACTCCCTTGTAGGTAACTAACTGCTTTTCTCTTGCTGCTTTTAAGATTCTCTCTTTGTCTTTAACCCTTGGTATTTTAATTATGATGTGTCTTGGTGTGGGCCTCTTTGGGTTCCTCTTGTTTGGGACTCTCTGGGCTTCCTGGACTTGTAAGCCTATTTCTTTTACCAGGTAGGGGAAGTTTTATGTCATTCTTTCTTTTTTCTTTTTCTTCTTTTTTAAAAAATATATTTTTATTAATTTTAGAGAGGAAGGGAGAAGGGGAGAGAGATAGAAACATCAATGATGAGAGAGAATCATTGATTGGCTGCCTCCTGCATGCCCCCTACTGGGGATTGAGCCCACAACCTGGGCATGTGTCCTTGACCAGAATTGAACCCGGGACCCTTCAGTCCACAGGCCAACGCTCTATCCACTGAGCCAAACCAGCTAGAGCTATGTCATTATTTCTTCAAATAGGTTTTCAATATCTTGCTCTCTCTCTTCTCCTTTGGCACCTCCATAATGTGAATGTTGGTACACTTGAAGTTGTCCCAGAGGCTCCTTATATTATCTTCATATTTTTGGATTATTTTTTCTTTTTGCTCTTCTGATTGAGTGTTTTTGCTCCCTCATATTCCAAATTGTTTATTTGATTCTCAGAATCCTCTACTCTACTGTTGAATCCCTGTAAATTATTCTTTATTTCAGTTAATTATGCTTAATTTTTGACTGGTCCTTTTTCATATCTTTGAAATTCTCACTAAGATTCTTGAAAGTCTCACTAAGTCCCTTGAAGCTCTCAAGAAGATCCTTGAGTAACCTTATAAAACCATGGTTTTGAACTCTGTATCCAGTAGTTTTCTTGCTTTCATTTCTTTCATTTGTGACATTTTTCTTTGTCTCCACATTTTGGCTACTTCCCTATGTTTATTCCCATGTATTAGGTAGAGCTGCTATGTCTCCTGGAATTGGTAGGGTGTCTTCGTATAGTAGGTGTCCTGTAGGGCCCAGTGGCTCAGCCTCTCCAGTCACCTGAGCTGGGCACTCTGGGTGCCCTGTGTGGGCTGTGTGCAGTCTTGTAGTTGAGCCTTGATTGCTGTTGGCATCACTAGGAGGAACTCACCTCCAGGCTAATTGGCTGTGAGGACCAGCTGTGACTACAGTGGAAGAGCTACTGTGCAGGAGACCCCCTGTGGAGCAGGACTTGCTTCATTGGGGCTTTGGTGCTCACTGAGTCTGCCCCTTGAGTGTGTCACTTGTGATGTGTAGAATTGTAATCTAGTATGGTCTGAAGCTGTCCACGAGGTGCACTGGCTCTGGGGCCTCCCGGGAGGTGCAAAGTCAGCCACTGCCTGGGGCCACTGGGCAGGAGCTACAGAGAGATCTGCAGATGGCTGCTACTTGTATTGGGCTTGGAGGTGCCCAGGAGAGTCCATGCTGTGAAGCAAGTCAGGCTGGTGCTAGTGTCGGATCTTGGGCCTCTTATTGATAGATTTGGGGCATGCTCTCACCAGCTGCAGCTTGTTTGAGAGATTTAGGAAAGTCTGAAACCTGATCCAGGACAGGCCATTTGTATGGAAAAGCCTCTGCAAACGGCTTGGGTGGGGCAGGGTCTCAAGGAATCCCCAGTGTGGGCCAAGCTGATGGAAACTCAGATATGGCTGCCAGTCAGCTCCGCGACTGGGAAGGTTCCAGCACCAGAACAATGACCCCTGTGAGCACCTCCTTCTGGGAGAAAGCTGCCTCCAGAGTTCTTTCCCTGATGCCAGACAATCTAGTTCTTCCCCAAGTGTCCCAGATTCCTTTCAAGCCGCTACCCCAGCACTGGAGCCCAGAGGGATCGAGTCTGAGTAAGTTCGTGTGCCAGCCCTTTAAGAGGAGCTGCCTGGGACTCCAGCAGCCTCCATGTCACTCAGCCACAATCTCCACTGGTTTTTACAGCCTGAATTAATGGGGACTTGTCTTTCCAGCTCTGGAACCCTGGGCTGGGGGTCTGGTGTGGGGCTGGGACCCATTGCTCCTCACAGGCAGCTTCCGCAGAGATGATGTTACTCCCAATTAAAAACATGCCACATGTGGATGTCGGACCGGCCCGTTCCGTGCCTCCGCCCCTCTTACTAGTCTCAATGTTTCTTCTTCTACACTTGATCTTAGCCAAAAGGCCGAGAAGCGATTGTTTCTTCTTCTTTAATTCTCTAGTTGTAGGACTTCATTTAGCCAGATTTCAGGTGGTTCTGAATCATGGTTGTTCTGTATTTTAGCTGTAATTTTGATGTGGTTGTGGGAGGAGGCCAGTACTGGCATTTACCTATGCTGCCATCTTTGGTCTGCCGCCTTTATTTAATCCTGAGGTGAGCATGGCTGGGGGATCGGCCTGCTTCTGATGAGTGAGGCAGTGTGGCTGCCAGACACCCTCACCTATCCCAAGGACCCCCGCCTCCTCCTTGGAGTCCTTGGAGCCGTCCAAACTGGTTGTGCTGCGAGCTGGCCACTCTTGGGGATGTTGAGATGAGGAGCCTGCCTCGCCCTGAAGATGCTTGTCCTGAAGAAGAGGAGCTTATCCTGCTCCTTCTCTCAGCTCCGTGACTGAGGCCGATTCCGCCCATGTGGCAGGTTAGGGGTGTGGCGAGGACGGGCAGCACTGGCGGGTGCCCTGCCTCCATGCTTTTCTCCCTGGGTGCGTCCCGCCAGGTCCAGTGCCCTTTGCTTCGGGCAGTAAAGGCTCCTAACCCAGGCCCCCTGTGACGTTTCACTTTTCTCCATACTTATCTGAATTCCCTCAGGGCCATCCACCCTTGTTCATATTTAGGTCCCCAAGGTGGTGCTTGGCACATCAGTCTCAGTGAATGAATGTGTGGGTCTTGTCAGAACACATCAGTTAAAATTTATGGAGCAGTCATGGTATGCTAGGCACAGCTGTAAGTTCTTTAGCTCCACGACTGTTGCTCATTTCATCTTCCCAATAACGCTGTGAGGCAGGCCTCCTTCAATCCCTGTATTTTTGTTGTTGTTAATCCTTACCCAAGGATATTTTTCCATTGATTTTTAGAGAGAGTGGAAGGGAGGGGGAGAGAGAGAGAGAGAGAGAGAAACATTTAAGTGAGAGAGACACATTGACTGGTTGCCTCCCACACGCGCCCGCCTGAGGTCGGGAATCAGCCTGCAACTGAGTTATGTGCCCTTGACCGGGATTGAAGCCGGGACTCTTCAGTCTGAGGGCCAATGCTCTATCCACAGAGCCAAACTGGCTAGGGCTGTATCCCTGTATTTTAGAGGAGAAATGGGCAGAGAGAAGGAAACTCACTTGCCTAATGTGGAACTAGGGTTTTCACCTAGGTGGTCTGTGTCCGAGGCTGAGCTCTGAGATGCTCCAATTCCTTGCCTCTCCTAATGGGCCCTGGCATGTCTGGGCGGCTGGTCAGTGGGCTGCTGGACCTGCAGGCAGGCGCCTTGGCTGTGGGTGCAGCAGCCCCCTGACAGGCAGCATCAGTGGATGCTGTGCTGGGGCTGCTCCTTGGGCCTGTGGACTCTAGTTGTCAGGCCCCCTGATTGGGTGACTGGGGCAGGGAGGTCTCGGATGTTGTGCGCACTGGCAGCTCAGGTGTGGGCACAGGTGTTTTCTGGGGGGAGGCGTCCCTGCCTGAGCTCAGGAGAGGTCATTGGCTGCATTTCTGGGGCAGGGAAGGGGCCTTGTGTTTATTTAGACCAGCTCAGCTCCAAAGGTATCCTAGTCTTTGAAGCGAGGTGTGTGTGAGCAGCAGGGTGTGAAGCGAGGTGTGTGTGAGCAGGAGGTGTGAAGCGAGGTGTGTGTGAGCAGGAGGTGTGAAGCGAGGTGTGTGTGAGCAGGAGGTGTGAAGCGAGGTGTGTGTGAGCAGCAGGGTGTGAAGCGAGGTGTGTGTGAGCAGCAGGGTGTGAAGCGAGGTGTGTGTGAGCAGCAGGGTGTGAAGCGAGGTGTGTGTGAGCAGCAGGGTGTGAAGCGAGGTGTGTGTGAGCAGCAGGGTGTGAAGCGAGGTGTGTGTGAGCAGCAGGGTGTGAAGCGAGGTGTGTGTGAGCAGCAGGGTGTGAAGCGAGGTGTGTGTGAGCAGCATGGTGCAGCAGTGGTGGAGTCCGCTGCCCAGGTTGTTTTTCAGGAGGCCCTGGTGGAGGGCCCGGGGCAGGTCGACAGCCCCCAGCTGCTGGACTTTGCTCCCCTGTGGCTCCTGCCAAGGCCGTGCTTCTGATGGAGTGGATGGGGTGCAGCAGGCCCTGGAACAGGGACATTTCTCTCTGATGTGCCCCCCCCCCCCCCCCCCCCCCCCCCACACACACATTCCTCAGAACTGCTGCGGCCCGAGGCTTCCTCCTCAAGCGTCCTCCTTCCGTTCCTCCAGTCGCAGGTCTGAGACCTGTGTTCGAAGGCTTCCCTCCCTCCTTTATCCTTCACAGTAAATGGATGGCACCCTGGCCCATCCTGGCACGTGTGCTCAGAGCCTGAGTGGGTGCTCCCACGAGGACCCGTCCCAGGGCCTGTGCAGGGGCTTGGGTGGTGGCTGCACCTGCTGCTGTGAGGAAGGTGTCCTCCCTGCTGCCTTTTGAAGATGAGAAACAGAAATCCTAGACTCTGGTGCTTTTCTCACGTGATTCTCTGTCACAGTCATTGTGAATAGATGCCGACCATCCGCGATCTTACGATTTGTCTCTCGGGGCTGGAATGAGAGGCGCGGACCTCCAGGCAGCGGTGTCCCTGCTCCTCTGTGGACGGGGTCTGGTGGGGCCTCCCCGAATCACCATGGCATTCGGAGTCAGCGGGTCTGGGAGCCAGGGGTCTGTGCTCCCCAAAGCTTTGGGGGTGCTTGATAGCCACTGGTGTCAGGACTGGAGCAGTGGCCGAGGCGGCGAGGAGACCCGACTTGCCGCAAGCCTCTAAACGCTGTGTACTGACTCCTGCCGTCTTCCTTTCTGACATGGCCCACGCTCCCCAGGAGTCTCCAGGAACAAGCCAGCGCGAGGAGAAGGCCCTCTCTCCTGACTCGGGTGCTGCCCGCCCCCCGACTCCCGGCAGGCTCTCCGGCCGAGGTGCAGACAGCAGCCTGGCCAGTGCAGGCAGCAGAGGGCGACAGGGAGGAGGGGCGAGTGCCCGGCTCCCCGGAAGAGACAAGAGTCACGAGAGTGACCCTGTGACGACGGCCACGAGTCTGGTGGGCCCTGGGGGCGACCAGCCCGCCATGTCCAGTAAGAGAGACGCACCCCAGGACCCGGCTGCAGCGGGGGAGGCTTCCAGGAAGGAGGAGGCCGCAACGGAGCCGAAGGAGGAGGCCCCTGTCCTGGGAGAGAGCGGATCAGACGCCAGTGACGTGAGTCTGTCCCACAGGCGTCCTGGGCAGCTTTGGCTGCTCCCTCGCCCAGGCCTGTCACGGAGGCAGGAGCTCCCTCCGCAGGCCTGCGGTGGGCGGTGGGCATCAGCCAGAGGCCTTCGTTGTGGTAAACAGGCCCACTCAGCGGGCGGTAACCTCCTGAGGAAATTTGGAGCAGACACTGGCCTTTCCATTGGGAGCCTCCTGGGATTGCCACGTTCTTCTGGTCTAATCCTTCCTCTTCCCATTACGGCCTCCCCTGCTACTTTTTCTTTTAAAAAAATATATATATATTTGTTGATTTTTAGAGAGAGAGGAAGGGAGAGGGAGAAAGAGATAGAAACATCAGTGATGAGAGAGAATCATTGATTGGTTGCCTCCTGCACGCCTCCCTACTGGGGATCGAGCCCGCAACCTGGGCACCCCAGTGTGTGCCCTGACCGGAATCGAACCAGCGACCTCTTGGTTCCTGGGTCAACGCTCAACTGCTGAGCCACATTGTCCGGGCTCTCCCGCTGCTTCGTGCCTTCAGTTTGGGATTGGCCTTGCTTGCAGAGAGGAGAACCTCGTGTGGGCAAGGCAGTTGGGGTTCCTGTTCAGCCCTGGGCAGTTAGGTCATAAGACGACTCCTCATTGATTTCTGTGGCTCTTTCTGCACCAATCCAAGACCTGGCCATGACCCGATGGACAGAAGTCAGACCGGGGGAGAGCCATGGGCATTTTTGGTTTTCCAGCCCTTAGTCCTGCTGCTCCTCCAGGTGGATGGTGGGGGAATTCATTTAAGGAGCTCTTAACTGCTTCCTGGGAAGGATACTCTCATGCTGTGTTTGTTTTCAGGATAGCATCAAACTTCCCTAGCTATGCCCACTGCACTCACTGGCTCTCCTTAGCATGCAGACCCTTCTTGTCCATACTCACCTGGGCCGCCAGCTCAGGGGCTGGGGGCTGGAATCTATGTCCAGAGAGAATGGGAGGGTCCATAGGCCTCTCAGTTTTCCAGAAAAGGCGGGCTCTGGTTTGGGCTTAGCCCCATGTTGGCGTCCTGGCCTGACAGCTCCCTGGGTAGTGGTCAAGACCCCCAGCCCACTGTCCTGGTGACTGTCTGTGGGTCTGTGTCCCCAGCGATCCTGACCCCCTGCCCTCTGTCCTGGTGACTGTCTGTGGGTCTGTCTCCCCAGCGATCCTGACCCCCAGCCCGCTGTCCTGGTGACTGCTGTGGGTCTGTTTCCCCAGGCGCTGGAGATCAGTGAACACGTGAAGGAGCTACAGGGCTCAGACTCCGATGCCTCCAACTCCAAGTCCCTCCTTGGCCTGGTGAGTCAGAGGAGGGAGCAGGGGCTGGGAGAAGGCGTGCGCTCGCGGGTCACGGTGCTTAAGTGTCTGCCTCTCATCACAGCTTATACCTGGGGAAGTGTGAGTCAAACTTCCGTCTTGTCTGACTCCAGTTTCTTAGGCCATCACTAAGGATAATACCGCCTACTTCATAGCTTGTCATGAGAAGAAATTGGGTCAAGGGAACCATCAGCACATAAACCTTAAAGAAAGGTCGCTGCTGTTGCCAGGGCTGCCGTGTGAATGCGCTGAGGTCCTGCGAGGTCAGCGCCTCTGGGCTCCGCAGGAACGTCACCTGGATCTAGGCGGCCACAGACTGTGTGTGCGCGTGTGTGTATGTGTGCGTGCGTGCACACGCGCGTGCATGTTTGTGCACGTGCATGTGTGCGTGCACATGTGTGTGCATGTGCGTGCGTGCGTGTGTGATCACTGAGCGATGGCGAAGACCGTCTCGGGCTCTGGCCAGGCGGGTGCTGGGGTTTCATATCTAAAGTCAGGACGTAGTCCTGGAATGCAGCCTCTATGGTTTCCTTGTCCAGCCCTTCCCGCAGCCTGCAGTGTCCCTCGCCCGCCAGGCCTGCGTTTGGGGGGAGGGGGGGAGGGGCGTGCTTCGGATGCATTTGGGCCAAGCATTGCCTCTGGAAGCCGCGCTCCCCCTGTTTGTGGTGTCTGGCTAAGGGGATGGGCTCAGGGATCTGGTGTCTGGCTAAGGTGGTCTAAGGGGATGGGCTCAGGGAAGAGGGTCAGGCTGAGCAGCAGTGATGTGAGGGGCTAAGGAGGCAGATGGCAGCTGCATTAAGTGGAGTAGAACTCAACCTGAAAGGAAAATGTCACCAAAAAGGAACTCATAAGCTAGGAAGGCAAGGCAGAGAGCCCCTGCGGGCAAAGGCCGCGTGGAGAAGGGCCACCTCTCGGGGCTCTTTGGTGGGCTCTGCCGCTGTGTGGAGGTGGTGCCCAGCCGTCCTCTCTTCTCTGAGCGGGTGGCTGGAGGACAGCACGGGCTGCAGGACCAGAACGTGGCTGGGCGTCCGCCATTTGTCAGGGCTGATGACAGCTGTCCCTGGTAGCATGCTGCCAGGTTGCAGCCCCTCACCTTGCCCAGTGGGATCTCGGGTGGACGGGCGGCAGCATGGTTACCTGGCAGCCGGGGCAGCAGGGGGCTGGCTCCTGTGTGGCGCTTGCCGCCTTCCCCAGCGAGAAGCCTGTGAGGAAGCTGCTGGGAGTGCCAGTGGTTCGGAGGCACCTGCACGCGAGCGGTGGGAGGAGCCCATGCGCCGTTTCCGAGCTGCCACAGGTCTCCGGGCGCTTCGGTGGGCACAGGAGGGAGAGACAGCGGGAAGTGACAAGCTTTGCGGCAGGTGTCATGCCAAGAGTTTGGGCTTTGGAGTCTGTCCCAGGCACATCTGCCCGCAGCCCCTTGTCTGTCAGCGGCGCGACCTTGGGGAAGTGACAGATGCGGTCAGGCCTCTTCCTCAGCTGGGAGATGCGAATAGGAGAACTGCTCTAGCAGGGCTCTTTTTCTTCATACTTTTCTATGAGAAATTTCAACCATACAGAGCGATTAAGAGGATTTACAGTGACTGCACACACACCTGCAGTCCACAGCGAGCCTGTTAGCACACTTGCTTGGTCACCTCTTTCCGTCTGCTCATGTGTTGCTTTGAAGATTACAGTAATTAGATGCCAGAATATTTGGTGCAGCGCCTGGCGTGTGGCGGATCCTCCTGGGAGGCTGGGGAGGGGCCTGGTGGGTGCGGGGTAAGGGCCAGCGTTGACCTTCCCACCCACCGTCTCCAGGACTTCGGTTTTCGCAGCCGGATCTCAGAGCACCTGCTGGATGTGGACGTGCTTGCCCCGGTCCCGGATGGAGCCCGCTGGCCGGTGAGTCTCTGGGGGTGGCCAGGGTCTCCCTTTTTGGGGTAGCCCAGAGCGGAGCCCTGCCCATCCCAGGATGCATTTACGGAGTTTCCTCCCTCTGGAGTCCTTGGGGCCTGGCCCCAACTCTGCCTGGGACGGAGCTTCTGACCACTCCGTTGCTGATGCTGTGCGAATCAAGGCACCCCCCACCCCCAACCGCCGCATTTACCTGCTTACCCATCGTTTACTCCTGTGCTGATGCTGTGCTGAGAAATGAGAGCAGGAGCTCTTTACTGAGCCGGGTGAGGGAAGACAGGTTGTGAGTTGAACACGGACGGAAGGAAGGTGGGGCGGGAGGAGGACTGCACCCCGCTGTTCTCTGCGGCTGACGCGAGGAGGAGTGGCAGCCCTGGCAGGGAGCCCTGCTGCTGCGGGCACCAGAAGATACTCTGGCAGCCTATTTAAAAAAATATATATTTTTTTTGTTGATTTCAAAGAGGAAGGGAGAAGGAGAGAGAGATAGAACATCAATGATGAGAGAGAATCATTGATTGGCTGCCTCCTGCACGCCCTCCACTGGGGACCGAGCCCGCAAACCGGGAATTGAACCTGGGACCCTTCAGTCCACCGGCCAACACTCTATCCACTGAGCCAAACTGGCTAGGGCAGCCTTTTTATTTTTAATGTAATTTGGGAAGCTGGCTTTTAGCTCAGGCCCAGATGGCAGAGTGGGCCACAGCTGCTGGGGTTCAGGCTGCCAGTGGAGAGGTGTGTGTTGGGGGGACACTGCGGACCCAGGGCCAGGAACCCCTGGGGAAGAGGGAGTGAGCTGTCTCCTGCCCAGGGCTCCTGTGCTGTCAGAGGCCAGAGGAGTGGCTGCTCCTTTGCCTGCCAGTCTGTCTGCCTGTCTGCCTTAGGCGGGGGCGGGGCGGGAGGCGTGTGCGCAGGGGAGCTCACTGGCGGCCCTCTTCGGGGCCGGCTCTGGTTTAGATACTTACTAATCTGGTTGAGTCCTCCCCGTGGCTGGCACGGGTGGAGGCGAGGCTGACCGCCACTGCACTCGCGTGGCCCCGCCCCTGGAGGACATCCTCAGACTCATCAAGAATAGTCCCGCTCTTCACATGTGCCGAGGCCCAGGCTTTACCACGAGATCTGTTGGGTTTTTGATCGATGTGCATCCTTGCCTGGGAAGCGGCCTCATGGCCCGCTGATGGGAGCCATGTGGACGAGCGAAGGAGCCCTGTCGGGCTCCCTTTCTGTCTGTCTGTCTGGGCGCAGCCTTCCTCTCAGGTGGAGCTGTCGGCTGCCCCCTGCAGCCGTGGCGTCTCAGCGTCCTTGGTGGCACTGGCCCTGGAGGTCCGGGCCGCTGAGGACGTGGGGTGTTTGTTCACAGATCTCTTCAATGACAGTGAGCGCTTCTAGCTGCAGGGGCAGGCTTTCCTTCCTCTTGTGTGTCTTCCTGCAGCCCTGGCTTCTGGTTCTGGCGCAGTGGCTGTGGTGTCTGGCTCGCCCTCCCCAGCCAGCCCGGCCAGCCCTGGGAGCAGCTGGGAGCCGGGACTTAGGCAGAGCCTCAGGGGCCTTGACTGGACAGTAGACAGGCCGCCTCTGCTGCATCCCGCGGGGTCCTCACCCACCGAAGAGCCACTCTTACTGCTTCCTCCGAGCATGGCTGTCAGTGGGAGGGTTGAGGGATCCACATCAGACCCTCCAATATGCACTTTCCACCACTGCTGCCCGCAGGCCCAGAGGCTGGGAGGAGAAGACCAGAACAACAGCCAGTCCAGCCACGATGAGCTGCAGAGTAAACGGTCCCAAGGCTCCGAGAGGTACGGCTGGGGGAGGCCGCCGCAGGGAACTCGGGGATGTGTGCTGGGCAGAACTCCTGGCTGGTCCGCGTGGCTCAGGTGCTCCTGCCTGAAGGCGCATGGGAACCGACAGGATGGCCTGGTAAAGTGTGTGTGTGTGTGTGTGTGTGTGTGTGTGTGTGAGAGAGAGAGAGAGAGAGAGAGAATGAGTGAGTGTATATGCTTGTGTGAGTGTGTGAGTGTGGGTGAGAGAGCAGACCTGTGATTCCACACCAACACAGGAGAGTGAAGAGCTGCTGGCGCCTGGTTGACTCCGCACATGGCACCACTGTGGGCCGGGGCTCCGACTTGTCACTGTGGGATTGAACTGTGTGTCTGGTTGTGGCCGGCGCTGGAGTAGCCGCGGGAGCCCTGGGGGTCATGCGGGAGGGTCAGTTCTGCAGCTCAGAGCTGGACCAGGGCCCTGCACAGCAGAACAGGCATGGCTATGTGTGTGTGTGTGTGGGGGGGGCTTCCAGCTTCCCAGGCTTGAGCCCTGATAAGGCAAAGGCTGTCATCTGGAAGGGGGAGGGCAGTTATTCTACCTTTTGGACCTTGAAAAACCATCAGAATTCTTCCTTGAAGCTGCAGCTTCAGCATTTCCGATAGTCTGACCACTTGAATCTGGCTTCCCCTTTCCTTCACATTTCCTGCTGGGTCCTTCCATCCCTCCTGGCCCAGCGATGCGGCCTCTGCGCCCCAAGGGTGCGTGCTGCTCTGCTCCGGGGCCAGCACATGCAGCGCAGGGCCCTGGGTCCAGTCCAGGACGGGAGCCCTCAGCAGGGTGTCTCCCTTCCTGCTCTTCCACTGCTCTGCCCTCCGCCCTCACCACTCCGTGAACCTGGGGCCCCGGCGGGGGTCCAGCTGGAAGGAGGAGTGGACGCAGGTCCCCATTGCACCCCCGTCTCCTCCTGACTCCCCTCTCTGTCTGGTCTGACCAGGGTATCCCCTTCACTTCTGTACAGGGAGCGGCTTGGGAGTCCCCGGCACAGCCAGGCCACGGTGAAAGGGCCTCTGCAGGCCCCTGCTGGGCCGCCTGAGCGGCGGGGGACACAGGAGCCCCCGGAGCACTCTGCACGTAGCCCCCTCCCGCCCGAGTCCCTGCACAGGTAAGAGTGAGCATGTGCCTCCCGGGAGGGCGCGGCTGACCTGGGTGGAGTTGTGTGTGGGGGCTGGGGGCCTGGAGAGCTCGGGGAGCGAGTGGCCCTCCTGGAGCTGGAGGGTGAGGAGATTGGCCTCTTCTGAGTAGTCAGTCTGCAGCTGAAATTGGGGTGCCTCGTCTGATTAGGGGAGCTTAGGAACTCCTGAATGAGGCAGGTCTCTTCTGGCCCAGCTGCCTCCCCAGCAGGGCTGGGCAGAGACTGCTGTTACCTGTTCCGGGCTGTGCTGGGCCTGCCCAGGGGCCCTTTCTCCTAGTCTCCGCCCACCAGCCCCTTCCAGCCAGTGGCCATCCCACCTCTGGTGGGGCAGCACCCCTGTGGGGCCCCGTAGTGTGCCAGGCGAAGGAGGCGCCCTACCCAGGCTTCCCTGCGGCCAGCCGAGGTCCAGACCCTGGTGCTGGTGCTGTCTGCAAGGGGAGACGCTGGCCTCAGGGCTCACCCGGCGCAGTGAGTCCCTGGGGGAAGTCGAGCAGCATCCATGCTCGGTTGCCAGCATCTATGGGGCACCTGCTGCAGGCAGAACTTCTTGGGTCCAGTAAGCATTCTGCCTCCCACGTGGGAGGGCGCATCTGCTCTTCATTGCAAACACCTCGGGAAGAGGCAGGGAGGGCAGGGAGAGTTAAGACCTGAGGAAGGGAACCGGTTGGGGCTGCCTCCCTGTCCCCATCACAGCTCTCTGACCCCGAATGGGGTGCCACTGGAGCCTCCTGCCTTTAACACATTTGCTTCTTTATTGCTATCAAGGGATGAAACCCCAAGTCCACCTGCCTCCTGCAAGAGTGGCGAGGCGCCGTGCTCCCAGGCCGAGGAGCCCGAGGAGCCCAAGGAGCCCGAGGAGAAGGTGGTGGCCAGCCCCACCCTGCCCATCTCTCCGGAGGGGTAAGGGCCAGTTCTCGTGGGTTGGGCCTATCCTCCATCGTGTGTGAGTAGCTTTAGATCCCATCCACTCTTTTTTTTAAAATTCTTACTCGAGGATGAACCCGCAACCGAGGTATGTGCCCTTGACCAGGAATGGAACCTGGGACCCTTTGGTCCACGGGCTGACACTCTAACTACTGAGCCAGACCAGCCAGGGCTGTTTCCACGCACTCTTGGGTGGTGGGGAAAGATGCTCTAATCCCCCCAGAGGTGGTGTGGGGCGGGGCAGGGGGGGGGTGGAGGGAGTGTACCCTTGGTTCTGTGAGCAACCTTGAGACCCCAAGGAGCCATCACCGTCCCCAGGGCTCCCCTTGTCAGGACCTGGGGAGCAAGGGTGCAAGTGAGGGGGTACCTCCTGAGTCATTAGCAGAAACCTGGTAAGTCATGTTCTCCCCTTTACCAAGCACTATTTTCTCTTTTTATTTTTTTAAATTTATTTTTTAATTATTCTTTACTAGAGGCCCGGTGCATGAAAATTCATGCACTGGAGTGGGGGATCCCTCAGTCCGGCCTGCCCCCTCTCATAGTCCGGGAGCGAGGGTCCCTCAGCCCGGCCTGCCCCCTCTCACATTCCAGGAGCCCTCAGGGGTGGGAGGCGACCCCGCCATCAGGGGAAGGTGATGCCCCATCACATCTCTGCTGCTGCCACTGCTGGCAGTGCAAGCCTCAGCCGGCCCTGGTTACGTGAGCCTCAGGCCAGCCTTGGGCAGCTGGGGGGGCTGAGGGGACTGGGGGACTCCGGAGGCAGGCGGGCAGAGCAGCCGGACCTGCCTCGGGGTGGGCCCAGCCTTGCCATATGCCTGCCACCCTGGTGGGGCTGAGGGGACTGGGCACCGCCATCTTGTGGCTGTGGGCGCTGCCATCTTTGAGTGTGTGGCAGTCAATTAGCATATTCCCTCCTTATTGGCTGTGGGTGCCACCATCTTTGAGGGCATGACAGTCAATTAGCATATTCCCTCCTATTGGCTGTGGGTGCCGCCATCTTTGAGTGTGTGGCAGTCAATTAGCATATTCCCTCCTTATTGGCTGTGGGGTGTGACAGTCAATTAGCATATTCACTCCTTATTGGTTGTGGGCTCCGCCGTCTTTGAGGGCATGGTAGTTAATTTGCATATTCCCTCCTTATTGGCTGTGGGTGCCGCCATCTTTGAGGGCATGGTAGTCAATTTGCATATATCCTCATTGGCTGTGGGCACTGCCATCTTTGAGGGTGTGACAGTCAATTAGCATATTCCCTCCTTATTGGCTGTGGGCACCACCATCTCTGCAACCTGCTGCTCAGTCGTTTGGTCATCCCTCACTAACCCCCCCTGCTGGCCTGGTCGCTCCATGCAGCCTGTTCAGTCATCTGTTCGGTTGTGATGGTCACTTAGGCTTTTATATAGATAGATTGTTGAAAGTATTCCATATGTCCCCCTTCATCCCCCATTGGCCCCCTCCATCCCCCCACCCCCATTATTTTCTCTTTCCTCTGTAATTGGAGAAAAATGCCCGCTCTGAGAAAAAGCAGACAGAAGCTTTTGGAGCTATTTATATACATGGAAGTACACAAGTCTGAGTTGTACAAGTCAACGAATGTTTACACAAGTACACACCACGGACCCACCCCGGATCCCACGGGAGCATCCCATCCCCCGAGAGCCTTTCCTCATGCCCCTGCCCCCCCCGGCCACCCCATCCTGGCTTCTGCCCGCAGACCCGGTATTCCAGGTCCCACCTGCATGTAGTGGATTGGATGGTACACAGAGGGCTCTTTGTGTCTGGGTTTGAAGCTCACCACAACCAGACATCATTTAGCGTTTCTCTGCCCAGTTCACCTTCCCTTCTCGCACCCCTTTTACAGGTGGGGAAACTGAGGTGAAGGGAGGTGAAGGGCTTGCCCAAGGGCACATGGCTAGTTGCTTGCAGAATTAGGACTAGATTCTAGTCCCTGGGACGTCTGGCTTCGTGGGGCCTCTGCTGTTCTCGACAGGGATAGGCAGGGCCAGGCAGGGCCGGGGCCACCCAGGTGTGCCTGTCTGTGGCCTGAGTGGTTCGGAAGCATCCACGCCCTCGGGGCCCGGGGCTGCCTGCTGAGCTGGGACT